GGGGGGGGGGGGCGGGGGCGCCCCCCCCCCCCCCCCCCCCCCAAAAAAAAAAAAAGCCCCCCTTTCCAAACAACAAACCCCGGCTTCAAAAACACCCCCAACAAACCTGGGAGGGTTTTCCCTTACCCCCAACAACCCCAACAAGCAGGAAAAAATCCTCGCCCCGACTGTAAGTTGGCCAAGAGGCAACATGTGTCCCAGGGGTGGTAGGTCCCCCGGGGTTTCAACAGGTGTCCCAGGGGGGGTAGGTCCGCCGGGGTTTCGTCAAAGCAAATTACGCCGAGGGAACATGTAGTACGCAGAAGAACAAAAAATGGGAGTTTGGTCGCATCCCCCCCCTTTTTCCTTTGGGGGGGGAAAACACAACTGCAAAGTAGTTTACAAATTCAAGAAAACCCAGAAATATCAAGCCCGACTGTTTTTTTGGGGGGAGGGCCCCAATCAACGGGATGGCTTGTGGTTATGCCGCCCAGCCCTTAATTTATGCCGCAGACCTAATGCCCCCCCTCGGGAGGAGGAAGAAACCAACCGGGTCCCCCCCCCCCCCCCCCGCTCCTCTGCGGTTTCACGACGTGTTTCTTCCCAACTCTAGTCGATCGATCTTGACTTTCCTGCGTCTAGATCGTCATTTCCCTTCTCATACGCTAGCTCGTCTCTCGTCGGACATTGCACTTTCTGTAACAGCACGCAATATTATTACTCCCCCTCAACAACTCTCGACACACCCCATCGCCCTCTCTACATATATCGTGAGTCCCGAAAAGGCCAAAAAAAGTCTACTTTATCTTGGTGTAGCTCCTGCTCCCTCTGTTGTGAAGCCCGGGCCCCTTCTCCCCCCCAGCGTCATCGCCTCCGCGGGCCGACTCCGCAAACCCTCGGATCGACAGCGCGAACGAGACATACGCCGCAGCGCACGAGCAGGTGAGTGGAATTCCCCTCGCCCCCACGGCTTCGAACAGGTACCCTGACATGGGTCCCGCCACTGACCTCCCGAATGTTTCTAGGGCGGCTGTTGTTGTGGTTGCATCGTGGTTGTCGTCGTGGTCATGAAAAAAAGAGAGGGCGAAAGGGGGAAAATGTCCATCATCAGCCGAGACGCGTGCTAGGCGCAGTATGTAAACACGCGCTGCAAAGGAAAAGGAAGCACGAAAAGAGGCGTACAACAGTCAACACAATTGGCACATACAAGACGACCACAGGCTTCGCAAAACTGCCCCCCTGCCCCCCCCCCTGCTCCCCCCCGCCCCCCCCCCCCGCCCAGTGACCGAGCCTTCTGTGGCGCTTACCACGGCCGTTAAACACAAACAACAAAACACAACGAGCGTAGTGGCGTAAATACTCCGATACTCTTCGCATTCGTACTTTCGGTTCGCTGTCTGCTCTTCCCTCATTGTAAGCGTTTGTATCGTCCTCTTCGCATAGCCGTATCGAACTCGTGCCAAGGCACACGCACACACGGTTCGCCGGAGCAACTTGTGGTTCTCAACCGACCAAACAACACATGGACGAAGGAATCCTTTGGCGAAACGGTACAGCAGCAGCAGCATCATCCGCAAAAGGACAAAAATAAGGCAACAAGCCCACTTTGACGCGTTTTTCCGTACGGTCCATCCGTTCAGCGGCCTCGGCCTTGCTAAGAACCTCCGTAGAACACGGCTTCCATCCGAACGTGTATGGTACGCACACCCGCAGGGAGAGGGACATAAGCAGGCAAACAAGCAGAGACACAGCAGGCAACAAACAGGCAGCTGTAAAAATCGGCTCACCCGACATCCCCATGACAGTGCCCACGAGCTCCGGTGGCGCGTGCTGCGCCACGGAATCCTTGTTGACGGTCTGGAACACGTTGCCGCCGACGCCGGCCAGCGTCAGCGACACCACGATCGCCGGGAGACTGCCGCTGATGGTGGACCACATCACCCACCCGCCCGCCTGCGATATTCGTCGCACCAGAGCAGGCAGGGGAGGGAACAAGCAGCGGCAGTTAGATGGCAGCGTGCGCTGATTTAAGGGAATGAAACAAGAAAAAACAAAGTGATTTCAAGTGATGGAACAAGAACGAAACAATATTCTTTCTTTGAAATGTCGAAACAAATTTATTCGCGCATAATACGCAGAGAGGCGTGTCTTCTCTTTTGTGGGGCGCTAGGCGTGTTGAGGCCCGTTCTGTACACAGTTACCGGCGGTGTAATGTTCCAGCTCTCGTCCGTCTGTCCGGCACGCCGACACAAACAACAAAACGGAAAAGGACTGCTGTGCTGCTCTCGAAAACGGGTTGACGCAACCATGAGGAGAGGGCACGACGTACAACCCACACCAGCAACAGACGTCGTCCCGTGGGAGGTTGGTTGTTGGCGAGGTTTGTGCACGGTACGTCTCTTGATCGCAGCGTCAAACCGTTTTCGAGAGCGGCAGCACAGCCCTTTTCCCGCTTGTTTTCAAGCACGACGCCATCAGAAACAAATATAAGTTGGTCACCGTCACGACACTAAAAATTCGTTGTTAGTCTACCACAGACTCTTTTCTGTGGAAGAGATAGATTCGTTGTGTTCTTTGTAAGAACAAGAAGAACAAGAAGAACAAAAAGAAAATAAATACGTTCTCACCAAGACCACGAGCGACGACGCCAGGAGCGGCCTCTCCCCGAACCTTTTCGTCAGCGCCCCCACGAGAAACGCGTTCGTCAGGGCCGCCACCATGCCCATGAAGGACAGGAGGAACCCCACCGTCCCCGTGGGAAACGACAGCACGCTCGTCAGGAACGGCGCGAACGACGTGTGGTACATGCTCTCCGCGAGCACCAGGAAGAACCTGTCGTGAAAAACCCACGCCATCTGCCGGCCCCCGGGCCCCCGAAATATCCCAAGCCTACCCCCCCCTCCTCCTCCGGCTGCGGTGCCCCCACCGCCGCCTCCTGCCGGTGGTGCTGGTGCTGGTGCTGGTGCTGGTGTGACCACCACCGCTGCCGCTGCTGCGGTTGTTCCTCCTACTACCGCCGACGATACGAGCGTCTTCCCCCTGACCCTAGTGGGGCTAAGCCGACGAGCGGTGCCGCTGCTGCTACTGACGGGGGTGGCCCCGCCGCCGCCACCGCGTCCCGGGGAGGCAACGGCGGCCATGCGGTCCCTCGCCAGCATCAGGTCCTCGGCGGAGAACACCCCCTTCTCCGCCGCCGCGATCATCGCGCTCGACCTCGTCCTCTTCAGGCCGGTCGACGAAGGCGATGCTTCTACGACACCCCCCCCCCGCCCCGCCGCCGCCGCGCTCGCCGGGGCTGTCGTCCTTTCGCTCTCGGAGGCTACCTGCAAGCTCGACCTTATCCTGGTCAGCGTCTGCTTTCTCGCCGAGCCTGGCGTCGACTTCGGCGAGCAGAAGGAGGAGGCGGTAGCGGCGACGACCTCGGCTTGGTCCACCGCGGCAACTCGCGCCAAACCGGCTTCGCCCCCGTCGCCGCCTAAACCACGGGCGCCGCCGCCGCCGCCGCCCTCCCTGAACATCTTGCCCCCGCTGCTCACAGCGCCCTCTCTACTGCCAGTCCGATCAAAGTGGTCTTTCTTCGAGGCGAGGCTCTTGGAGGGCTCGGGCAAATACTGGAGCGCCAGGTACA